ATCTTTGATTTCTCTGATCAAAAGCAAACAAGAAAATACGGTTTGTTGTCCCGACAACTGAAACGTACCGCTAAAGGCGTGACTGTTTAATCTCCTCCCCAATAGTCTTCTTATTGAACTGCCTGTAAAAGACGAACTAAATTGCCCAAAAATGTGACCTCCAACGTCCCTCCCTCATTTGTGCATAATATTATGCGTTCAAGTACAGTAATATCTCTCGCTATTTTTGGGCAGCTATATAATTCGCCCATGTTATGCAACTTTTATAAATGTTACAATTAAATAATAAATTGCCCCTCGGTGTTTTTCTTCTCTGTCAAAATGTATATGTCGTATGATTAAAATACCGGTAACTGACTCGTTTTTATTTCCTTTCTAGTTTCAATTTATGATCCAATTTGAATGTCCGTTTTGTTTCGGTTAGGGATGGTCAAATACGAATGTCTAATTTGTGTTTGTTACGGTTCCCAAAACACCTGCTCCTGAATTGATCTTGCTTCATTGAGTTTTGACTCCGGTTTCATTCTTTGCGTAAAACGTGACGATAAACGGTTTTACGTGAATATTACTCAAAGCTATCACTGACATGGCTAACGCACGAGCAGAATAAAACAGAAATATAAAACTCAACTTAATAGAGACAAAGTACATTTTCTTCTTAATGGAAATATTTAAAATGACCAGCCACCAGGTGGTGCAAGTCTATTCGTTCTAGTCCATTTGAAATGCAGTGTTTTTGTTTTGTCTATCATAGCTTTCTTTGCACGTCCCCTCAATAAGATAATAATACCTTATTGGTAGTCTGTAGGGTGCCTTGTGAAACAACAGGCATTAACATTCGTAGGCTTAACAAAATTTAAAGAAAAAAGAAATCCGAGGAATCGTCCAGAAACGCACTTAGAACTGTGAGTAAAGCGTGATGAGTTTAGAGAATGATCCTGCCGCTCAGTGTTTTCCGAAAATTAGCATTTCTGTTCTCAGAACTGTTTCTTATCATCGCTTTTTCATTGGTGCCAAGAAAAAGACCGTCTAGTCGACGATATCGACGGTTTTTTTTTTTGAGCGGGCAGTTGGTACATTTGATGACGCAGAAGTTAGAATGTCTGTATGGCTTCTGGTTTTTTTAATGATGATCTAACCAGTACACTAGGTAAGCTTATATTTGGGACAACCTTATTTTTATTCTACTTTCATTACTTATTCATTTATATGGTTGAGGAATCCATTAAAAATTGAGATAGCAGAAACAATAGTTAAAATAGTCGAAAGAGAAATTACGCACAATGAACGAAAGAAACGGAATTATTTTTAATGGCAGATTTGGTAAACTCAGAGTGCGTTCTGGCAAAAATTGATCCGGAAAAATGTTTAAAATCCTAAGATGTAAAACAGGAAGTCAGAGAGCCTAAGCTACTTTTCTTAGAAATTTGCAATTTCTTTATTTGACCAAAAGTAAGTTTTATTGTAACTTACTTACTTACCTCCTTTTCGATCTCAGTAACTGGAAAATTCGAATTACAATCACGTCTTAACTATTGGGTCCAAAACAAGTCACATTTGGCAGTTTTACGTGCCGAACCGACGAAGGGCAACTGGCAGGACTCAGCGGAGGACGGAGCATTATGTCTGGGCCACCTGGAGATCTTTCGAGGTACAACGAAAATCTCGGTTACACGGCGCCTTCTAGGCCGGAAGCCTCCGTCAGATTATGGACTCCGGGGCCAGGATTCGAACTCGTCTCCTGGGGTTCTGTATGACCGCGCCTCGGTTATATAGGGTTACCGACGAGCGAAAATGCGCTGAGAGTCTGCCTCATTGCCCTTCTGCCAACTCTTTGAAAGCGCTGAGGCGTCATCCGAACTCCGACCGTGGACACACTCCTTGACAACTGTCAAAGCCGCAACAGCCACAGGAAGACACACAATATGCCGCACATACAGCCAGGATGCCTTCTGTCATCAGGATGACAGACAGAATCGAAATTATGTCAATGCGATGTGTACAATAAACATCCTATTACAACTCCCGCCAGTCTTTTTTTGGATGATTAAGAATTTGAGACTCAATTGGGCTGATCAGTGCTTGTCAACAAAAATTAATCAACTTTACTTTAAACTGTCGCAATGAAAATAACACAAAGACATTTGGTGATGCTGCGGAAAGGCAGGAGAATTGTACCATGCTCAGAACGTAGGTCCCTTGTTACGCCATTAATGAAGTAGTTGAAACAATGCCACAAAATGTAACGAATGTAAAGCAGCGCCAAAATGTAGCTGCATTACTTTCTGGAAGTAATGCATGCATGCAATTTATTATTTTCGTGCGCTAGGCATTTTTAATTGCCTGCTTCTGTTTAAGATTACGTTTAAGAATACAAAATGAATTGTTTTGTTCTATGAACAACAGCAAAGTAATCTCGAAAAGTGGGGTCCATTGGTAAATTCTACGCACTATTTTTCGACAAGAAATATCTCAGTGAAAAATTATGAAAAGAAAGCATACACACATTCTTCAATACATTGGTTATCACATCGCAGAGCACACTATTTCCACTTCAGACTTTTTTGTAGAAACAACTATGCTAATTTTGTATATGCCAGGCATTTTTTTTTTGTTTTTTATCAACACTGCGGGTAGACTGCATTTCAAAATTTTATTGGTAAATATATTTACTTTGTTTTTATATAGGGCATGATTTCCCCCCACTAATTAAGTAAATTATGAAACCTGATGAATGTTCAAGAAAAGGTGTGAGGTTGGAATTAATTTTTAAGAAGTACGTCTTCAAATAAACTCGAATTCGATTTGCGTCAATTGGTCGTTTTTATGCTATAGCTTCGATATAAAAATACAACATGGAATCACACAGTTCTTGAAGATCTTCTATGGGTAAAACAACCTAAGGATGGCTTTGCAGAACAAGTTTCAGCCGGGTTGTTTTCGACATATTTGCTATGGTGTAAGTTTAGGGACTAATTTAACAAGGTTAAAAGGGATACAAAATCTAAAAAAGTCCTTCAGCCTCATAAATAAATAATCGCACATTAGGCATATTGTGTTATTATGAATAACACATAATTTATAAATCTCTACAAAGCAACAAATGAACTAGAAAAGCGTTTTGCAATGTTATTAATCTATCCGAGTAGAACCGTTACAAAAAATAACAAGCATAAAGGTGGTCAATAACAGCTTCATATGATCGAGCTCTCTTCGTGTTAATTGATAGACAAAAGAAGTACCAAAACTTAATTCTGGTAAAAAGCTATTAAAATAACCCACCTTTAGGTGGTTTAATTCATGCACAAGCAAAACATCCGAACATAAAGGTGTTCAGTAAAATATTATCATATCCACGAATTATGGTTTTAATTATTACACGAGTAAAATATCTAGACAAAGAGAGTAAAAAAACTGACTCCCATATTACACATCTGCTGGATGTAAGGGATACACGAGCAAGGTATCCGGTCATAAGGTTGGTCAGTAACTACTTTTCACAATCCACCTCTAATGGTTTTAATATATAAACAATGAACATATCAAACTACACTTATTGAGTTTAAGCTATAAGAATCAACATCACTGTTACAGCAACAATGGTGTCAAAACCACCTCTCTCTTGCTCATCTTTTAGTGCAAACATATTTTTATCAAGTATTTAAATTTAGTACAAGTCAATACTGCCAATGTAAGCGAACACTTTTCGATTTATATGTTGTAAAATAAATAACTGACTTGGTGATACTCAATCAATTATTTTTAATATCAACAACAACGCAGGAATTAATGTAAAAATTGTGAAAACGCCGGCAAAAGTGTTCACGGTTTCCGTAGTAAACTCAAGACCTGAAACAAAATGAAATGTTTCTTCTTCTGGAGGAATTGGGAATCAACATCATTATTTATTGTACAGCTGTAATTTTTTAAATGCTTGCCAGTAAAATATTTAATGAAATCCAGGCGAGTATCCCTAGACCCCAAAATAATATATTATCCCACCTACAAAAAGCATTCATACCTCAGAAACGTTTCAATGAGAAATGAAAGAGCTATAAACCCTTTATTGCAGTCTATATCGTGTTTCCGCTTTTTAAATAATAAGTTCTGTCATATGTGGTTTCGACCGTTTGTACACTCTAATGCGGATTGCGCGTAATGTCAGTTTTCATTTAAAAAAAAAAAAAAAAAAAGATCCCAGAGAAAAACATGAAACCTTCGCAAGGCCGAGTTAACCGTGCCACACGGGCAACTCGAATGCCATTTACAACGAATGACATTTGAACGATCGGTCAAACAGTGCACGACACTCCGAGCGTGGGGCGTTCCACGCGCAAGAGATCGCGAGCCAATTCGTCTATCACACGAATGTCATTCGTTGTAAACGGCATTCGAGTTGCCCGTGTTGCACGAGTATAAGTCAAACAAAAATTATGAACGCAAATAACGGGCGATAATTACCCAAGTTTGATACCTATATAAACGCTTCAACATTATCTGGATCACATAATTGGGCTATCCTTGCAAATATCAATAAAATATATAACGTGTCTAGTTATGAGAACGTTCTTAGCTTTGTAAGGGGTTTATAATTGTTATCTTTTGCTCCTGTGAGAACAGAAACTGCGCAGTTATATCATAAAGACTGTGCTAGCGAAGCCCTGTGGTTCTTAATCTTTTCATTATACTATTGTTTTATGATGTTCGTCACAAGTGAAGTTGACAATTGGAGAATCTTTAAAATGTACGGATTAACAAAGCTAAAATGTATGACGGAAAAAGATGGCAGAAACACACCCATACAATCAGAAACGATATGCAGATTAAATAAACTTATAGCATCTGCAAACTAGTTAATTAATCCATTCCATGTTTTGTTGCAGTCCTAGATATGGTAAATGTCTGATAATAATGAAGAACTTCTCGCACTTTCTAGTTAGAAGGGTTACAAGTAATCCAAGCCGACCATGTAAAAAAACAGGATTTTCCTTCTTACTTACTTCTTAGAGCCCATCCTTTCTGTTGCTGCAGGCCCATGAAGGTCTTCAAGAGGCTCACTGAGCAGGGCCCTGAGATCTCGGGTCTTGTCACAAGGTCCGAGATGAGCGGCATGCCTACTTGCGCCATCACTTGCATAATCCGATTGAAGTCATCTTCAAAGTTTCTCGTCGTGCTGTCCTCTTGAAGGACGGACGGACGCACCGAACCCAACCACGCGGCCAGGACCGCCAGCAAAAACGGCCACTTTGAGAAGTCCATCGCTAACTAAGCAGCGTTCAACGAAAAAAAAAAATAATAAAATCAAACACACCTCGGGCGGTCAGTTGCTCAAGACGGCACGAAACGCGGCAGCCGTGTATACCCAGGAAAAAAGTCTCCGATCCTCTCAGCTTCTTTGTGGCGCCCCGAAGAATTCGTAGCGGGGTAGGAAAAGAAGGGAGGAAACTAGGTCCTTCTCTTCTGGAAGCTCATCTCGGCTCTGGACGCCCATTCGCGACCGTTGTTGGGCTGCTTACGATCGCCCTTGCCCTTCTTACACTTATAGCTCGAGTACGGCTCTCCACTCGTCCGTCCACTTCATTCAAATTCCGCGTTCTATAGTCGGGGGAAAGGGACCTTTCCTCTGCACCTGGTGGGCTGGGACGTACGCGCTGGCGTAAGAAGGGTTGCTTTTCCTCTATATTCATTCTAATGGCCAATTGACCCAAATCGAACGCATCGCTTCCCAAGGCCGGCTTGATCGTCATATATGATATGCGTTTCGGGGGCGATCGGGAGAGGGGGGAGCCGGCAGGTAGTCCGACTATTTTCGGCAACGTGCGAATTCTCGTCTTCCGAGTTCGCCTTGCGAGTCATCGAGATATCTCTGGGTGCCTCGAGGACCCACGGGTGTCCGGAGTGCCGTTGAAGAGGGGGACGAGTGCCGATGATAAAAATCGCTATTAGGTATTCGCATCGGTTGCGTAATTTATTTCGCGACCGAGTAAGCACTGTGCAAGCCCTCTCACCTGACGACAGCTTGATTTGATACTTTTTCTGCCCCAGGTTTGGCCGCTAATCAGGCTTATTAAAATAGGAAGTAAAACAAATCACATAAAATGATGACCTGCGGTTTTTCAGTTGCCGAGTTCGAATCCCGGCCGAAGTAGCCTAAATTATTTAAGGGCTCATCGCGTGGCTCCGTGCCGCATAACTGAGCTGTCGGTTTTTCGTCAAACGACCCCAGGTGGCCACATGAACGCTAAGACCATCAGAGTACTATCTCCATTTCTTTGGTTTAGTGCGTAGACCACCCAAATTGAATTTCGGAATAACATACAATACGCGTCCAGAACGTTTTTTTTACCTCATAGCTTTGTTTTCGCTTGTCAATATAGATGATCTACGAAAGAATACATGCGCAATATATGACACGATGAAATAGTGCTTATAATTATAAAGGTGGCAAGCAAATTCCAAGAATCTAGTTTTTTGCAGAGCATGGTGAGTTATATATCACTCATATCAATGGCGCGATTGAAGACACCAACGAAAAAGCGCTATTAAGTAATTTCGATATCTGCTGGGACATTCAATATATGAAAGGTCCGATGTGGTCTCCAGGTGTAGGTATTATTTGCGGGTTCGAATAATTTCTCCGGGTTCGGCAGTTCTTCGCTACTTTTATTTATACGAGTTCGTAATACTATTGTCTCTTCCCGATTAAGGTCTGTTTTTTTTTATTTTATAGTGTGCATAACGTCTGCCACCAACAAAATATTTAGTCGTTTCTGTGGTCCTTCTACAGGATCCAAGATCTCGCCAAGCTGCGCTATATCAGCTTTACTTCCTCCAGTTTTCTGAGAAAATAAAACTATGCATTCCTATTGAACGATGGCAACGATTGGTGCTTCTTCATTACGGTTTAACAAAAGTAACAATATGTTTTTTTCGATAACAGTAAAATATTCTAAAACGTTCGAAGCGTGATGATGTTATGTGCCGATTTGGTGTGTATATATAATATGTATTATATGTAGATAACTTAGGGACTATCATGAATGATCGACCAGATCTTAAATATACACACCGTTTTCTGTATCTCATGGATCCCTCATGGGATCCATGAGATCCCATGAGGATGGGATCCATGAGATCCCATCTTCTAGACCATCATGGTCTAGAAGCGATTATTCAACGAGTGCATAAATAGTCTAAGCATTGCAAACCTATATTTCCATATTCCGTGAACTGATGAGTTCCAATTTTGTGAAAGTTATATGACGTCTGTAACGATACTAAGCGGGGATAATGATCAATCAATTCAATGAAATGATTTTAATTTAAGCAAATATTATTAGTTTTAAGTGTTATTTGTGTGCATCGTATAGGCTTATCTAAAGTAGTGTTTTCTTCTTTAACTTGGTGCTTTTAAATATAGTATCCTTAATCTGCCTAATCACTGAAAACTAGGTGGCAGCGAATTTTACCATTTATCGATTTATATTGTAAAACATTGAAAACTAATAAGGAACTTGTCATTTCTTATGTAAACCTCACCATATTAAAACAAATATAGCTTAATTCGTTGGTTCACAAAAAAAAGTTATAATTCGGTAATAATTGAGCAAATCAAAACAGGAGTCATGTCTTTAGTTTAAATATGCAATGCCTTCGTGAAAACAGCCTCCGCATATTTTAGTATCTTCTCGTGATATCAGAATTGTTTTCCGTCGGCCTCGCACACACGGTACCACTGTTATACAGAAGGTTTCTTACATCGTTTCCGCTGTCCCGCAACGTTCTCCGCAATCTGCTTCGAGACCCAGGTCTGTGGACGCAAGGCTAGCGCCTCGCATGCTCAGTACACTCTATAAAATACCTGCACGTCTACTTATAGGCAAAACACTCAAAAGCCAATCTATGCGATTTAGGAAATCACCTCAGCGAATGATGAACCGGAACATCCATTTACGGAACATTCATTTAGTCCTAGAAATGAAGTCTGCGCTGTGGCATTACGCAATGCAAAGCGTCTTACTTCCATTGCGTAATGCCACAGCGCAGGCTTAATTTTAAGGTCTAAACAGATGCTCCGCCTCATCATTCGCTGAGCTGATTTCGTCGACTGCAGAGGTTGGCTTTTTAAGTGTTTTGCGGTTAAGTAGACGCGCAGGCATCTTTAAGAGAGTGGAGTCTTCGTTTCGGAGAGCGTAGCGGAGGTGGGAAAACGGTCTACGAAGACTCCCTATCGTCATCGTCCCTGGGGCGGCTCCAGACAAGATATGAAAAATATCCAACCTTTAACATATAACCCTGTCTGCTTGTTTGTCTGTCTCGTTCCACCTGTATCATGCCGGTTTTATTTAATTTTACTCAGGCGCCCGCTTTCGGGTTGAGCGGCGTCGGCGTCGGCGTAACCGGGCACGTTGCATTATGAAAATATTTCCGATAAAATTTAGCGGTAAAAAAATTCCACTAAATTTAGAGGAAAAATGTTTCAACTAAATTTAGCGGGTTAAGTTTCTCCGCTAAATGTATGGGGGAAATTGATGTCGCGTAACCTCAACACCAATTCAGTTTTCCCGCTAAATTTACCGGGAAAATGTTCACTAAATTTCCCGCTAAATGTAACGCTTTTTTTTTTTCTGAATTTCCCGTAAAATTTAGCGGGAATATTTTCCCGCTAGATACAGCGGAGAAATATTCGCCAAGTTTAGCGAAAATGTCCCGCTAAGTGGGAGGACAGCAGGGGAGAAGGGGAGGGTACAGAGGGAGAGGGGGGCGTACCCTCCCCTCCATACCCTCCCCTTCCCCTCCAGAGTTGCGCTCTGATTCGGTGTTACATGGAATTCTAATTATCGTTATTTTTTTCATTTATTCATTCCATTCGTTTGTGCTTCTATCCATGTACTTACGAGTATTTCTTTTTAATTTTGTTTCTGTTCTGATTTGATTGCATGGATACACGGCGCTCACGCAAAAATGGGAATTAAAAAAAAAAACTTAACTCTTCAGTTTGCTCAGAAGAGCACCAATTTTCGTTCATGTTCAGCATGATAGAAATCTTTCTTGCTTGGTGATTATTTAATGTAAATAAATTGCACATGATAAGCCTCAAAAGATTGATATAACGGTACAGACAAAATATTTGCGGATTGTCCTGGTTTTTCCCGCTAAATGTTTGACTTAAGTCGTGGACTTCGATCGGGAAATCGTGTAAAATAAATTATCTTTATGTTTATTCTTCTCCTTGGTGGTTTATAACTCTACGCGGCATTGCGCCCTCGCATCTACTGTGGTTTTAGTAGACTACAGTCATCATTTGAATATCCCAAAAGAAAAACAAATATGAAACTAAATTGCGTTCTCTATTTAATTTGTACTATTCAAAGCTTGATTTCAAAATGTTGGACATATACTAAATATACATTTGAGCAGAAGACATATTCTTAAAACCTTTTATGTGTAGTCGTGGAACGAAAGGTAATTCACGCGTAATGCTAATGTTTGCAACGAATGGGACTGCTGGCTCAAGGAAAGACAAAAAAGCACGGACGTATGGGCGTCAGATAATGCGCAGCATAAATACTAATTTCAAGCAGTTCTAAAGAGAGCTCGGTTCTGCCAACTTAGTAGTCCAGGCTTGCGTATTGGTTCACCTTGTCTTCAGGCATCACCAAGGTCCTGAATAAACGTGCAGCAATCTTTTTTTTTTTTTTTTTTGCTAACAATACACCACGGGTAATACGGACAAGCGATCGCCTTATTTTCCTGTTCTTTTAACTTAGAATTCAGGGATTGCCAGATAATAAAGGAGCGTAGAGGAAAGTGCTCATTCAAAGCAAGGACTTACGTGGTAGAATTTTGTATCCTATATAAGTGGAATACGACATTACCATACTTTCATCATACTGCTGTTAAAATTAACCCTGACACAATTCTAAAAAGCGTTCTTGTATAGAGGGTCGTAGTCCCTTAGATATAGGGTCGTTAACTTTTGAATATAGCCTTGTAGTCTCTTGGAAATGGAGTCATTGTCAGATAGGGTTATAGTCTCTAATTAAGATTACTGGTGATAAAAGAAGAAATGCCGATGCGCTAAGGTATCGAAAATGTATTTCGCATAAACCCTACAACAACAAAAAATAAAATATGACTGATGTTCCCGGTTTGTGCAGCTCAGAGGCAGCATTAAGGAAACGCTAAGACGAATTCACGCCCCCTCTCTGTGCCAAGCCCATTTTATAAACGGGGTCGGGAAAACGTGTTAAATACAT